CTAATAGGTTCATAGCACGACACATTATGAATTGTAAATGAATGTAATAATGAACATTTGATATATTTGTATTTTGAGTTGAATAAGATATATGCAATATCTTTCAAAAAAAAAAAAAAAAAGATACATGCAATAAACCGTTAGTGTTCAGCTGTCCATCCGTCTTAATTTTCATAGAAGAATTTAATTCATCACCTTATGGTTCTGTGCTACAATAACCTAATTTGATTTTGATGCATTTTACCAAAATCGTCAAAAAATACTACTCTATAATGTATATGTTTTATTCATAAGTTCACTGATTTGATCTTGGAGACTTTAACATTTTTTCATTACAATAATTAAGTTCACTGATTTGATCTTGGAGATTTGATCTTGGAGTAATGAATATTGGAGACTAACATCTTTTCATTTTAATAACAAGTTGATTGTATATGTATCAAATCATAAGTTCACTGATCTTCTCGTATTTTCCAAACTTCCGCAAAAATTATAATGTGTGGTAAATGTTGATTATGATTTAATTTGACCATTTTCAACTAGCTAGTTGGTTTCAAATTTCAATAATTTAATTATATATAACTAGATATAAGTATGATCTATGATCTACTTGGAACCTAAACTAATCAATACAGTAACAACTCTTGTCTATTATTTCGAATTGAAGAGTGGGTTTGTTCCTTGTCTTAAGTAAACTCTGACAGTAATCCCTATCTTTTAAAAAGCTTGAAATAACTAAGGGATGTTAATTATAAAGAATGGTCATTATTTTTAATTTTTTTAAAAAAGATCATATCGAAGAAAGTCATTTGTCATTTACTACGACTTTGGATGTTAGATAATTGTATCAGTCAAATTGTACGTCTTATCGTTATATACATATAAGTAGAATAGATTATCCCAAACCTCGGATTAATCTTTCAAATTAGCAAGTGGGGGGACCTAATCGTTAGAAGTTATGAAAGTGAGTCAATCACATATATAATGAAAGAATTTTCTTCATCTGGACCACGGTGGTTAAAACTTAAACGTACGGGTACCAACGGCACATGACGAACCATGCTATAGTATTGAATTTTATGGTCCTTAGTCTGAGCTACCATCTAACTTTTCTACGGGTGGGTGGGTGGGTGAGAATTAGTTTTCGGGTCACATTTTTGCCAAGTAATTTAAAGTTGTATGTTCATACATGAAAGTGTGATGAAACTCACTACTACTACTACATACCAAGTTTAACATTTAACACTTGGTATAACCGTATAACCCTTGTGGAAATCACGTGCAATTGGACCCCCCTTTTCCTTTGTCCATCGTAATCTAATTGTATGTACTACCATCACCAAATTCTCTACTATAAGTATGTTTGTTTTGCATTAATTGCTACTATGATTTTAGGTTTAGCATTCACATATGCACACTGTATAATTATGTTGATGTAAATTAATTTAACCGGTTATTATATTGAGTATTTATGATGATGTGATTTTTTAAAATATTCTTTTGAAGTTCCTGAGCTAGCATTTGTGCTAGAATGATGCCATTACATAAATATTAAGGGTATGTTTCGATTTACTGAAAACAATTAAACTGAACTGATTAATTAGGGCCGAATTGAACTGAACTGAAAAGAGCTGAAATGAATTGTTTATAGAGAAGGAAATTAGGAATTGAACTGAAATTAAGTTGAACTGAACAGGCCCTAAGTAGTTAACAATCATGCATAGCCCGACCCTATGCATGCATGCATGCACGCACTCTACTGTTTATCTCTGAAGTTGCTTCAAGATTTGTTTGTGTTGCACTCCATCAATCCTAGTTGATAATTTGATATAAAACTACTCTAAAATTACGGAGTAAATGATGAAAATTATATACTATCTCCGGTCCAAATTACTCGCAATTTTGGAATATTTTATATCTCACAAATAATACCCCAAAGTTGCGAGTAATTTGGACGGAGGTAGTAGTAAAAATATCTAGTTGTTCCCAAAAAGTTAAAACCCGGCCTCATCAATCAATCATCTCATAATCTCATTCCATAACATCATTAAATTAGGAAATAAGAAGAGTAATTATTTTTTTTTTCGTTTAAACATTTTTATAAGACAATCTTCTTCTAATAGGAAGAACTAAAGATGAACCATACCTCTCTTGCATAATCCCTGGATTTGATATATCTTACAAATTATGACAACTTAGGGAGAGAGATAGATATCTACCACTTTTATTTTATGGTCCAATTCCAATCATGTTCAATTTCTTAACCTTTGTTTTTTCTGTCTAAAAAATTCCTATTTGTTTCCAATTTCATAGATATCTATTATACAGTAATGTGTGTCAATTTGACCTAAGTCTTAGTCACCCTCAAGGCCTCATCAAGTCCCTCATCTACCCCTATCTTTTATTACAACAGAAATTCCTTAAAAGGACCTTAGTCCTTAGGTACTACTATGATTGTAATTGATAATAAACTTAAAATCACATAATATAAGTTTCCTGGGAAATTTAAAGTAAAATCACGTGTTAGACACACAAGTAGAACAACTTTGTTTTCGTTCTTGAAATTGAGATAATATTATACGAGTTGTTAACAATTCATTTACTAATTTTTCCCGTTTAAAAATAAGTACTTTATTCATAGTAGTACACTAGTACAGTAGTACTTGGTACATTGGAGATGCTATTTTGATGGTTAATTATATTGTTGATTTAACGAATTCTTACGTCTAGATAATCATAACTCAGTCTACATTACAATATACAAGTGGTCACATAATGTAGGGAGAGTCCTTTTCTCTTCATATTAATCCTTGTTTGCAGCCTTATCACTGATTCACTAGGTCAATAGCTAGCTGTTTAATGTTCATCTTCATTCTTCAATAATGCGGACCACAATTAATATTACTATTCTTGTTAGTCTCCAATTTGTGCTCTTTGTCAAAACAACTTGATTGATTATTATGATATATGTTAATACTTAATCAAATTATGAAACTTATGCTTAATTCATGTGTGAAATTCCATTGTCATACTATTACTTTCTTTTCGTTATAATTTATGTAATATATATGTGCCTAACTATGATAGTAACAACACTGGAAAAAGCCACAGATAAGATCATGACTTAGGTACGTTGATTTTGGATAGCAACAAGGATACTTATAAGCTTATTATGAGCCAAATAATGACAAATGTGTCCAAATTTTAAACTACAAAGACGGATTTAGTTTTCAAAAAACAGATGCAAAATGCAATTTTAATTACTCCCTGCGTTTCATATTTTTTGCAACTTTGGAGTATTATTTGTGAGATATAAAATATTTCAAAGTTGCAAAAAAATCAAGTACGAAACGGAGTTAGTGCCTGTTCAGTTAGCTCCAATCAGTTCAGTTCAGCTCTTAATTAATTTTCATCTCTCATAAAATATTCATTTCAGCCCAATTCAGTTCAGTTCAGTTCAGCTCCAATCATTTCAATTCAGTTCAGTTTATGTGAACAGGCCCTTAGTAGCTTTTTCATCACCACAAAATTATGTATTTGTAATTTAGATCTTGCATAATGGATTGATCTTATTCAATTCTAGCTCTCAAGTTCAAGATCCATTTTATTGCTAAGTCATATTTATATTCAAAAGTCTATGTTCTTATTAATTTCCAAAATGAAACTCTTGTGTCACAATATAAGCAGCTCGTCTTAATATTATACAATATACAAGTACGAGTTTTAAAATCACATTTCAGCCATTGTATTTTATTTATAATTCAATAATTTAAAAGCTAGTCAAATAAAAGTTATTTATGCTCTATTGATAAAACTTACTCAAAAAGTCTAAAAATACCCTAAATTCAATAAACCCTAAATTCAATAAAAATTACTTCAATATACAATAATATTTTTGTATATCGGATGTATACAAAAAAATTTGTTATTACTAATATATATATTTATATTGAAGCATAATTTATTTATTTATTTTTGTAAAGGCATATAACTCGAGTGCATTTGATATACAATGTAAAATTTTAAATACATCAACAAACAAGGTTAAAAACTTAGAAATTGATAATGAAAAATCTGCAATTATATATTTACGTCCACTTGAATACATGAAGTAAATCTGCATAAAACTATCAATTATCTTAAGGAATACTACAAAGTACAGAAAATCGAAGATTAGGGTTAGGAGATATATGCAAGAAGGGAATAAATGAATGATAGATTAGATTGTGCAAAAAATTAAGGTCAACATCAAAATGTTACTTTCAAAAGTCTTTTCTTCATATTCAATCAAAAAATATTAAAAATATGATAGAGGCTGAGAGGTCCAGCTTCATGGGCCCAACAAATAATTGGCCCTTCTTCCTACATAAATTCCCTCTCTTTATCAAATCCTTCTGCCCCCACCTCTTTTATTCCACTGCCGACTTTTTTTTTTTTCCTTATTTTTTTGGCATTGAACTTTTTTTTTTTCCTTTTCTTTTCCGTCCGTATGAGCCACATAGGTTATACAGAGTACAAAATACGGAGTATAAATGAGGGTGAGAAATATACTTCGTACAAGTTGTGACCTTTTATAAACAAATCACAAAGGCAATAAAATTACAAATGGGGGTGAGACATTTGACGTATTCTTTCTCTTGTATTTTTTGTTGGTTTGCCTCGATGTTAGGCTTTTATGTTGGGGCTACTAATATGTTGGTATCATCAAAAAAATAAAGCCTTGTAAAATAGAATTTGAATACTTTGTTGTTTTAATTTGAAATTTAGAAATAGACCGACTTAGTGTTTGATAATTTTAATTAAAGTTGCATTCTAGACATCCATCAATATTAATATATCATATGTGCGAAAAACGGTTGTACTATTCACTAATATATATATATATATATATATATATATTTTTGATGGTACATAATCTAAATTACTTGAGGCTAAATTGAACAATTAAATTCAAAATTTCAATGGCAACATATACTATATTTATAGTTCATATATACGCAAATACCACAATTGTCTATCCACTTTGATATTCAATCCTCCAAATTCTCTCTATTTTGTCCTACTATACCTAGGGCATTTCTAGAACTATATACAAAAAAATATTTACATGGAATCATGATATGCTTCATTACCAAGAAACCACAAAATTGATGCCCTAGTACATTACCTAACAATAAATTTGTTACTCCATAGTTTGCCATTATGTAGAGCTCTTTACTTACTCTGAGATTGATCTTTGTTGCATCAATTGTTTTGCTTTAGTTTTCCAATCTCTATCGATGTCTTCTGCTATCATTATCGCGTCATGAGATGCACCAAGCAAGCCCCGTTTGGTGAAACCTACGGCATATAATCCATTCTCGCCTTTCCATCCTTCCGGAAATGGTTTCACCGGATATCCATCCTTTTCAGAGAACATAGTGGTATCCTATAAGGTACAAAAGTTATAAAATTTTTGCATTAATATCATTATACGTGTGTCGATTATTATTTGAACAATCATGTATGTTTTACGGAGTAGTATTTTAAAGTACTCGATCTGTTTGTATATGAAAAATTGTAACTATTAATTTTGTACAAGTATTTGAAAAACATTTGATCAATTGGAGCAAAATTTAGATTGAAGGTTACATAAAATATTAACCTTTAACCAAGATGGTACGTTGCTTTTAAAACCCGTAGCAAAAATTATAGCATCAAAATTTTCCATTCTTCCATCAACAAATTCTGCCCCTTGACGTGTTAATCTTTTAATCGCCGGAAAAACCTGTGTGTACAAGATTTAGTAAAGTTAGAGCTAGCTTAATTGAACCATTATATTAATTAATATTGATTAGAAATAGTGATCTTTAACAAATATATATGTCTTTTCATTTGAGACATTACTCCCTCCGTTCTACAATAAATCTTGTACTATAATTTGTCACATGAATGCCTTCTTTTATTAAATGTTCATATGAAGTACCATTTTTCTAATGCAAAGAATTTTGATCATCTCATTATAGCACTTCACTGTTTATCTCTTGATATCAATTGTGAGCAAAATATATAAATTCAAAACCTTTTTTTTTAATAAAAAATAAGTAAATGTAACCTAAAAAAGGAAATGGTCATATATATAATCATTTAATGGTTAATTCACCTAAAATAATAAGATTTAGTGTAGATAAGCTTTGATTAGAAAATAAAGTTAAATTTAAGTCAATCGCTATCGGTAAATGATATTTAACACGTATTGTATGAAAAGTGTCAAAGTAGTCCACTCGTTATCTAGGAGGAAGGACTTTTGGGAAATTCCCTTTTAAAATAGTTGGTGAGATTCGACCTATGACTTTACACCTGGTAGTAAGAAACGTAACCGTACCAACTGTTTTAGTCTCCTATCTCATTAATCCAATCTTATTAAACTAAACTATAAAAGTATAGAGCAAACCTTAACAGTTCCATCTTTGACTTTAGAAAGTGTCCCAATATCTAACACTGGAGTCTTTCCTGAGACGCTCTTATATTCAAGGGGGCCAATTGCCGGCCTATTTATGCCAAATTGGGCAGTATCACCAAGCATTAATCGAGAGATTAGTAGCAAAAATTGATCCACTAACTTCAGTGGAAACCACTTTAATAAGCACATTGACAATCCAAAAGTTGAAGTTCCTAGCATTTGTTGTGGAAGTATATGTACCTAAATGGAAAAAAATCAGAGAAAAGAGGCAATTAATAACAATAAAGTAGACTTACATGTACATAAAGAGTCACTTGCGGATCTAAAGATTTTTAATTTGTCTATACATAATATTATTAATACTAATATATAATAAGTATAAACAATGATTGGCCACAAATTGAGGTGATGTTCGGTGAAGTAGTGCATCACTTACTTCTCATGGGATATATGAACCTATACAATACAATATTTGCACTTTTCCTCTTGATTAGTACGTACAAGTGTGTTGTTTATGTACACTAGCTAGTAGATTTAACATGTGTTCGAGATATATATACTCTCCTCGCAACAAAGGGATATTTTATATCTCTTGAAATTAAGGATATAGTATAAAATCAAATGTGTAGAAATTTATTTGTTAGAGTTAAAAGCAATGTCTATCACATGATACACACCATATAGAATAGTCATATACTCTTGAAATTATTTATTTATTTATTTATTTATTTATTTCAAATGTAACATGCATGTAGATTAATTTGGAGAATGCCAAAAATTGTCAGTAAAAAAGAATAAGGCAGATTCGACTAATAAGAAGATGTATAAGCATGCAAACAACCTCCAAGAAAGTGAAGTTTACTAGGATAAAAGAAGACTGCAAAAGTTCTACCATTAAATTTATTATAATAACATTATATTTAGCAATCTAAAAAATAAAATAATGAAACTGTTAATTAGGTCTTCTTTTTGAAAGGACAAAATATGGTGTACATGGTCGTCATCCCATCCTAAAAAAGATAGAATTCGAAACAAAAAAGGTTATGAATTATTGTTAGTGCTGAAATTAGTAGATTAAGATGACCCTAATGGGAAATTATTCGACTAACACATGGAAACTCGTCATTGAATCTTTCGGTAATTGGTATGTTTGGACTTAAAGTTATTCCTAACAAGGTAAAGTTTTTGTGCATATTCTTATCTAGAATCAACATGCTAGCACATTGAAAGTATATAAAAACCATTTCCAATAAACAATATATGAAAATAAATGTATTGGTCCCTGTTTCTTTTTCGTTATGTAAAAGTCCATCTTAAGCTCAGAAAGAATTAAAATAAAAATGACGGTCCTATCGAATGATAAAGATATCCAATCAATAACACCGATGTGAAAGACAGATTAGAAAGAAACAAAATAATGCTTGATACTAACACTAATCATCATTTCTAAACAAACTTAAAATTTTAATATCGTCATTTCCTAACCAAACCAATACCAATTCGTGGCAGCTAAAATGCACATCATAGCCAAATTTGAAGTAATACTCCAAATTTATGTTACTTGGATCATTCATCTACTTTGTCATACTCATGATGCATGTCACGCTTGTTTGACGTAATTCATATCATTCCTTTAAAGCATAATTATTTTGAAGGTAAAAAAAACAACTAGAAAAAAGGAGGTGTACTATCAATCCAGACACTAAATTTAAATTTGAAAGTTCATTCGGTATGTAACATACTTCATATTTCACTCTGTTAATACTCTAAAAAATCTCATTTTTATTACGCGGCTTACTTCACGAACCTGAGAGAATAGTAATTATCTACATTTTTTTCAAAAATCTTTAAATTATTACCTTATATCACAAACTAATTAATCCTCTAACCTAGTTAAACACTATTTTGATCTCTAACATCAATCAATCAATCATGGTAGTTAAACAATCAATATTGAATTCCGTGATGGTAGTTAAATCCTCATTGAAATTTGTGCAAAAAAAATAAAAAATAAAATAGCAATAAATCATGAATGAAAAAAAAAAGAGAGAGATAGAAAGAAAGAAATGCTTACAGAATCCCTAACAACCAAGGAAGGATAAGCATTATGATTGCAAAGATCCAAGCAAAGCTCCATACCCGAATTACCACACCCGACTACCATTACCTTCTTATCACTATACTCTTCTCCACTCTTATATTCACTTGAATGTATTATTACTCCTTTATATTCCTCTCTTCCTACTATATCTGCCATGTATGGTTCCGCATTTTCGCCCGTTGCCACTACCAACCATTGACACACATATTCCACCACTTCTTTCTTCGGCCCGGACACGAGTACCCGCCACAGCCCGTGGCGGGTATCGTACTGGGCCTTTACCACGGATCGCCCGAACATGGGCCGGAGGTTGAAGTGTGTGGCGTAGGAGTCAAGGTAGGTTATGAACTGCTCTTTGGTGGGGTATGTAGGGAAGCTCTGTGGGAATGGGTAGTGTGGCAGCTGACAAAACTGCTTCGGGAGGTGGAGCCGAAGGCGGTCGTAGGTGTGGAGTTTCCAGAGCGAGCCCAGACACTGGGCCCGTTCTAGGATTAACCTAGGGATCCCCCTCTCCTTTAAACATGCCGCCACCGCCAGGCCCGATGGGCCCGCCCCTACTATCACCGGGCCGGGTACCCACACCCGCCTCGTCGATGGCGATTGCGGGTGAGGGTCTTGTGCTAGCTTGGCTGCCATTTCCTTTAAAGGATCCATATGATGATAATACTCAACAGTAGTAATAATTATAGTACTACTGATTAGGCTTCTCCCATGTTGAATTTGATAAATATTAGAATTAAAAACAAATATGAATATACTTGCTCTTTACTAGTGTAAATCAAAAGGGATAATAATTTTAGAAGAGAAATGAGATATTAGTATAAGATTAAGAGGGTATGATGATGATATTTGTATTCTTATCCAAAAATGAGGATAATTATAAGGAGTGGGTGTTAATTAAGCTCTTAATCCTATCCAAATTATTGTTGAAAAAAGAATTTGAAAGAAGAGAAAATATGGGAGCTTGGAAACCCGGCCTTAAAACCCAATTAAAATGTAATATACGAAGGTGTTTGACGAGAGAAATAATTATCAAGGAGAAGGTTGAACGAAGTGTCAATTTATATGGTGGTGAAGGGGTCAAAAGAACTACGAAGTATAAGTTTTCTAGTTTTGTGGGACATGTAACAGGCTCCTACAATACTTTAGTAACTAATTAGTTTAGTAACCGTATTATGTATTTCATCCATTTTTTTTTTACTTAACTCGATTTGATTTTTATACTATTTTACTATTTATCACTTCTCATTTCACCGTCTTTTGTAAATTAAATGTAAGGAAAAATAAATTCATGTGAGATTTTGATAAAATCATCTCAATAAGTACTACAAGTATCATACGCAGTATTATATAACTTTAGTAATTTTTTACTAAGGAGAATTAAAGTTATTAAGTTAAATATATGTATTGGCAAATGACAAACATGATAAATGAAACAAGTCAATTAAGTATAAAAGAACGGAGGGAGTATGTACTACGTATACACCTACTCTAAGACGTATGATATAATTTCTTCTTCTTCTTCTTTTTTTTTTTTTTTTTTTATTTTTTTATGTGTGTGTGTGTTAATCAAACAATTTATATTATAATGACAAGAAATAACTGAGGATCATAACCCGTTGATTAGAAGATTACCTAATGAGAGTATTTAGGTTATGTCTAAAATATTCCCATTTGTTATTTGAATAAATTTATCTATTATTTTGATACGACTTCTTTCGCTATATACTTAACAAATAAAAACTTAAGCTTAAGTATTACATATAAAGATTTTTATTCATGATCCTTTTTCTAGCTTAATAATTGATTTCGATTTATCCGTCAAAAATAATAATAATAATTGATTTTATAATTATATCTGAAAAAACAATCAAATTTAATGCTTAGAAAATTTTACAGCTGTTTTTATGAGCATATGTAGTATAATAATATAGTATAGTAATTAAATATTCAATTTCCCTAATAATTTTAAAATACTCTAAAGATTTAAAAAAAAAAATAATCTAAAGACTTATAGTCATATAAGAATTTATCACATTATACATTTATCTTTCACACTTCTTTGTAAATGAATGCTTTCAGGGTTACATATGTAATTCTCTAGTATAGTACTATCTGTGGCTCTCTTCTCTTCTCTTTTCTTTTCTCAATGTGAAAAACTTGCATGTATTGTTTAAAAAGTTTATATACTTCAACATGTATATTTGAGAAATTTTACGTACAAATAAAATTACTATCAAGCGCTCTTCCTTTTTTATATTTTTAAAATTTGTAATTTATGCATGAAAATATTCACCAATTAAGTTGCGAAAGGTGGTACTCGTGGTAGTATAGGTTGTGGAAAGCTATATATAGTTCTCAATCAATCCCAAATTCCATGGAAGTAGGAGAATATTATGGCAAATTTGTCACTTGGTGTCTGCCATACATGCTGTATGATCCTTAGAAACTAAGGCATACATGGTTGCATTTTATGTTCTCACTTTTACATACAAGACTTAGGAAATAGGATTTGACTCCTTGTTGAGTTGTTGACACATTCGAACTTGGGAATATTCGTCTTAATTTAGAAAGTTGACTCATAGAGTGTATGCTTTATTATATTTTTTCATTATACAACCCTATATAGCTAGGTTATAAACTTTTAACGCTATAAAGTGTTTTGAACCCAAGTATAGCATTGAAAATAAAAGTAAATCATAGCAATTAACAAATATAGCAATGAGCAAGAATCACATCTAGAGCTGTCAACTCGGATAAACGGGTTGGGTTTAGATCGGGTCAACTCAAGTCGGGTCAATTCAAATTAATTCCATAACCTATGTGGGTCGGGTTTGGGTTGGGTCATGCTTGAGTCGGGTCACGTCGGGTCATACTTCTTAATGGGTTTGGGTCGGATTTAAGTCGGGTTACATTCGGGTCGGGTGAACAATAGGTCGAGTTTAATTCAGGTTTTCACGGGTTAAAACGGGTTAGGGTAATTCTCGGGTTCGAGTTGGGTTCGATTCAAGTCAATAATTTGCGGGTTAGAATCAGGTCGGGTCATTCTCGAGTTTGAGTCGGGTTCGGTTCAAGTCAATAATTTGCGGATTATAATCACGTCGGGTCATTTTCAAGTGGGTCACTCTCCGGTTCAATTCGGGTTAGGTTCAAGTCAATAATTTGCGGGTTATAATCAGGTTGGGTCATTTCCAAGTCGGGTCATTCTCGGATTCAAGTCGGGTTATGTTCAAGTCAATAATTTGCAGGTTACAATCAGGTCAAATCATTTCCAAATCAGGTCATATTCAGGTTCAGCTAACTATAAATAGATAATTATCATTTTTATCAAGCTAATTATTTCCTTTGACTATAATATATATGACAATATACTAGGGAACTATAGTCCATAAATTAGGAAGATAATTATCTCCTTTGACCATACAACAAATATAAACTATATTTAACTCTAAAATTTGAGGATGATGCTCCTTTTTTTTTTGCTGGCCTGGACCGACTTGGTCTCTCTTGACAAAATGCTTTGATCAACAAAAATAAGATGGTCTAAATTGCAATTAAGGTGATTTGAAATCGGGTCAGGAACAATTTGGATAGAATTTAGGTCGGGTCATTAACAAGTCGTGTTAATTTCATGTCGGGTTAGTAAAAGATCGGGTTGAATTTTTGGGTCGGGTAAGTAATAGGTCTGGTAAAATTCGGGTCGGGTCAATAACAAGTCGAGTGAATTTGGGTCAGGTCAATAACAAGTCGGGTTGATTTCGGGTCGAGTTTGTTACAGGTTGGGTTAAATTCGAGTCGGGTTAGGAACGGGTTGGGCTGAATTCAGGTTAGGTTAGTAACAAGTCGGGTTTTGACGGGTTAAAACGGGTTAGGGTCAATTTCGATTCAAGTCGCGTTCGCTGCAAGTTAATTAAATTGACCGTTGCAAACCGATAAATCGGTGCAAGTTGTAAACCGGTAAATTGGTCGTTTAATAGAAAATTAGATGATTTCACACACCCAATTGGAATCCTATAGGGTAATAAGGACCATGTTAAAAATTTCATTAATTTTTATTTCCGGACAAAAAAAGTCGAAAAATTCCAAAGAAATTTTAGAGGTTTCAGGGTCCCGGTGTCGAAAAGTGTTTAAATTCTATGGGATACTTCTACGGGTCATATAATGTCGTTTGGAACCATATGTGATCATTATTTGTTGAAATAAATGTTCGTGGTAGGCTTGAATTAATGAAATCGGTGCAAGTTGTAAACCGGTAAATTGGTCGTTTAAAGGCAAATTGGATAGTTCCACCCACCCAATTGGACTCCCGGAGGATACTAGGGACCATAGTAAACATTTCGGCAAGTTTTATTTCTTGGCCAAACAAAGTAAAAAAATTCCAAAATTGAAGACTAATATCCACGTTTTTTGAAAAAAAATTGGAGGTTTTTGGGCCCAGTGTAGAAAAGTCTTGATATTTTAAGGAATACATCTCGGGGTCATATAATGTCGTTTGAAACCATATATGATCATTATATGTTGTCATAAATGTTCGTAGTATGCTTGAGTTAATGAAATCCGTGCAAGTTGTAAACAAGTACATTAGTCGTTTAAAGGAAAATTGGATGTTTCCGCCAACCCAATTGGACTCCCGAAAGATATTAAGGACCATGGTAAACATTTCGGAAAATTTTATTTTCGAGCGTTAGAAAGTCAAAAAATTCCAAAATCGAAGACTAATATCCACGCTTTTTGAGAATTTTTAAGTTTCGGGGCCCGGTGTCGAAAAAGTCTTGAAATTCTAGGGGATACATCTCGGGGTCATATAATGCCGTTTGGAACCATATATGATCATTATTTGTTGTCATAAATGTTCACGGTAGGCTTGAGTTTATGAAATCGGTGCAAGTTGTAAACCGGTAAATTGGTTGTTTACAAGCAAATTGCACTACGTGAAAAAATGAATTTGGCACCGGTTCAAACCCGGCCTAAGGCACCGGTTTGAACCGGTGCCAATTTGGGGGGTGCCAAAAAGGGGTTTAAAAAGGCACCGGTTCAAACCGGTGCCAAAACTTGAAATTGGCACCGGTTAACCGGTGCCAAAAATGGGTTTAAAAAAATGTGGAATTGTTTTTGGCACCGGTTAACCGGATCCAAAAGTGCCAAATATTATTATTATTTTTTTTTAGAACAGCAAACAATTAAAAATCGACTTAAATTATTCAGAACATCAAAATATAGATCGAATTTCAATCAACATAATAAAAAATTTACAATATATAATCAAAACAATTTTACAATATAGATCAATACAGTAGTAGTTTAATTACAACATATAAAAAAATTTATAATATAAATAAAAAAATAAACTCAATATTCTTGCATCTTGATTCTTCTATTTAAGATCTAACTCAAGATACCTACACCAATTAAAGCAAAAAAAAACGATATATAATTAAGCTTCCAAAAAAATTAAACCCAGAAAAAATTAAAGAATTTCTAATTTAAATCGAATAAAATAAAAAAGAAATCAAAAAATAAAAAAGAAAATCAGTTGGTAAGAAAAAACCCAGAACATCATATAAAAACCAAAATTGAACCCAGAAATTAAAAACCAAAATCGAAAATCAGGAAAAAAAACTCAGAAAATAAAAAAAAAATTCGAATTTAAATCGAAAAATAAAAAAGAAAATCCCAAAACAAACCCAGAACAACAAACCCAGAACAAATCTTGCATCTTTAACGGATCTAAATCAAGTAAAAAAATCAACAAACCCAAAAACGCATGCTTTCACCCAGAAATCGAAAAACAAAATCAAAATCGAAAAAAAAAACAATCGAAATCGAAAAAAAAAAACCCAGAAATAGAAAAAAAAATCAAAATCGGAATCAAAAAAATTAACCCAGAAAAATTCACAAATCGAAAACACCCAGAAATCGAAATAGTTGAACTCGGAAAAAAATTGAAATCGAAAGAAAAATCAAAAACCCAGAAAAAAAATAAAATAAAATCGTAACAAAAAAAAACGAGAAATCGCTGAAAAAAAAAACAAAATCA